CCAGTAAGAATTCCGGCGATTCTCGACTTCAATTGAAAGATATTAGCTCGCCAGTAGGTGACCGTTGTGTGTTAGGCGTGCGTTTGAGTTTGTCTCCGGCTGCTGAGAGCAGCGATGGAATGGTTAGTTAGTCAGGAGGTGATCGTTCGGGCAACATTCAGCCCAGCCAGTGTCACGCATGGCAAAATACACGGTTAAAATACACATGTTCACCCTATTGAGACCAGTTGTTATGGTGGAAACTTTGGCCGCTTTGCGGGACGGGAAAATATCATCAGATCGGAATGAAATTTTGCACAGAACCTTGTACCATAGTATCGACAAGAATTCCGACCCGGCCCGACGAATCCGACAAACTTTTTTTTTTGCCATGAAAATGTGGACCACCCTAGTGTGCGTGCATGCATGCATGTCTGTGTGTGTGGGTGTGTGGGGAGCCATGTGGTACTGAGTGAGTGAGTGTGAGTGTGAATACATGTGGGTGTGGGTGTGGTTTCACACCCGACGATCCTACTTAGGCATCGAGTCACCACAGGGAAGGATTAGGTGGATTTCACCATACCAGGCATTTCTCTGCAGTCACATGGCCCATAAGCATTCTGGGAAAAGTCTTAAATCGAGACAATCCGAGAGGTGCGGCCATTTTGTCATGGGATGCCAGGCCCGATGTTTTGGAAAGCACACACACAGTACACAAAGTCCACAGATACTTTGACCGTCCATTTTTGTTTCCTGTTTACTTCCTCCCAGGATGGGTGTATGCCGTGTTTGATTTGGCGTTATGTCATTGTGCATCCCAACGGGCCCTGCGATGTGTTTGTGTGTGTCGGCTATCTCTCGCTCTCAAACACACACGCTCAAACACAAAACTGGATTATCTTATTTGGATCCAACCCAGGTGCTTGTGTAGCAGGTGACTTGTGTTGTTACAATCTTGTCTAGGAAAAATGTTGCACACCACCCACCGCCAACTACAAGCACAATCCTAAACGAGTGGCTCCACATTAGGGGGGAATTTCTGGAATAACCTGACATGCACCAGAACCTTTACTTTTATTTTCCCTCAAAGTTTCAATACTTTTTGCACAACTTGATGTTCTTTACCATCCATCTGGAGACATCATTGAGATGCAATAGAACAGGGGTCCTCTACCGCCGGACCGGTACCGGTCCGCAGGTCATTTGGTGCCGGGCCGCACAGAAAGAATAAATAACTTACATTCCTTCAGTTTGATTCCTTTTCGGAATCTGAAAGATGTTTTATTTTGAAAAATTATCGGTTATATCAAACTACAGTATGTCACTTTTGACGCAGGTGAATGCGCACTTCTCGGTCACGTGATAGGTTCCCGCATAAAAAACAAACGTCTTTGAAATGTTTTTTTCAAGAAGGGGGTAAAGGCCCAGCTAGGAGACAGAAGAGGAGCCTCCGAATTTCAATAAAGAGAAGGCTACATTTAATAGACAGTATCAGGAGTCCTCTTTCAAATATGGCTTTATCTCAATGGGAGATTCACATGCACCAAGCCTACTCAGCATAGTAAGCGGCGATGGTGAGTCGTATTTTTCATGCACTTTTTATTTACGGTGTATCTTATTTTGAAGGCACGTTTAAACGTTACCATAGCGACCAGAGAATGTTGCAGCCAGATAGGACGTCCCTCGTGTCATGATTCGTGTTTATTATTATGTTTCGAAAATACTACACTTTTCATGCAGGTCATATCATATTATATTGTTGTATCTATCCAGCCTTAAAGGCCGCTCCCTGAAAATATTGTCTGACATTAAACCGGTCCGCGGGGCAAAAAAGGTTGAGGACCTCTGCAATAGAATATCAAATGCAGAGGGTGTCTGTGGATAAGCAATAAACACAGTTACTCCTGAACACTAATGTCTCCCACAGAAATGGGCCTTCTGTAACTAGTGGATGGCGTAAACATGAAGCTTGCGTCTCAAGGCGACGTTACTATCTGCAGTTTGGAATCATTGTAATTTGGAAAGCACCAACAATGTATTGTAATGTCTGTGAATTGAGTATTTCCGAGGAACTGAGATTTGTTCATTTCAATTTCGTGATTAGTTTAGTAGTCCATGTTCCATGAAGCTGCCACGCATGTTTTTGGAATGTGGGTGGAAACGGGAGCATCCGGATAAAACCCACGCAGGCACGGGGAGAACATGCAAACTCCACACAAGAAGGCTGGATGTAGAATTGTGGAATCAATTCTGTCTGTAAAAAGTAGCGAACAGTGTGGGTATTTCAGGAATGTTCCCAAGATGTCACGATAACAACACTGTTTACACACAGGGTGTTACTGGTTAAACGTATTAATTTCACTTTAGTATGACCTTTGCCTCCTGTCTTTGTCCCACATGTTCCATGATGTTAATTAGTGCCAAGAGCCATCTACCGAACCCTTTTGACCTGTTAATGGACACGTGGAATCCCGTTTGCCTTTATACGACATGCACAAAAAAAAATCAAAAAAAAAATATTCACTCAGGATTCCGCTGTGAAATGTGAGACTGTTTCACTGAACACAACCCAATTATTGTGTTGTATGAATGGCAACAGGTTTATTGTATTTTCTGCCATCTAGTGGAAGAATATTTTATTGTTCTACTTGTCACCATGTGTCACTGGTAAAGCTAGATGAGCAAAGATGCGTTATTTGTATTCTGGAGATAATAATTTGACAATTTGTCGATAAGGTTTCTATTCAGAGGTGATTGAGTTGGAGCATGACAACAGAAATTGCAGTTTGCCCTTCACAAAGGTGCCTACGCTCACATTTTTGGGGAGAACCTATCCTGCATTAATTGCTAAAAAACTCACCATTTGGCTGTTGTTGTTGGGGGGTTTTTTTTTGTTTGTTTGTTTGTTGTTTTTTTTGTGTTTTTTTTTTGTTTTTTGTTTTTTTTTGCACAGGCCAAACAATAGGATTGCTTTGCCATCATTCGGTAACATCATGGTGCTGTAGTGAGTTGAGGAGCTTCATTTTTAGTGTAAATGAAGCTCCTAATATATTAGTATTTGTTTTTCTGTAGTGTTGATTTTAAATAATATCCTGGTATTAAACAAATCGGATTAATTAATTAATCAAAACAATAGTTTAATATTACAATAACTGCGTTGCAGCCTTAGTATGCTTACTTAATGTAATGCCCTCACGTGGAGAGCCACAGTCACTGACGCACTTGCCAGCAGTTTATTTAACAGGAGAAACAGTCAAACGACAAAATGAAAACACTCACGGCCACAGCTCATGCCCAGATTCTCACGCCACGCCACCAGGCCCCATTTCTGAAAGAAACAAACAATACACAGATACCACAATACAAACGGTATGTTTCTATATGCTGTATGCTTGCAATTTGTGTATGTTTTCAAATATATTTGATTCCTCAGATTCCTGCATTTTAAATCGCATTAGTGCTCGTCCCCAAAATGCCTGTCGCATCCTCTGGTGAGCGAATGAGGATGTGTGCGTGTGTGCGCGTGCGTGTGTGTGTGTGTGTGTGTGTGTGTGTGTGTGTGTGTGTGTGTGTGTGTGTGAGAGAGAGAGAGAGAGGCTCGAGGGTGGGTGGGGGTGGGTGTGTGTGTGTGTGTGTGTGTGTGTGTGTGTGTGTGTGTGTGTGTATCTTAGCAGAGTCGACAATTCTGCAGCTCATCACGCAGGCCAGCCGGCCAGCCAGCCAGCCATTCGGCCATTGATTACGCAGCACTTACTTTGTTGCACCTCTGCGGTGGTCTGCACTTGTCATTGGCACACGTGGCGGGGGTGGGGGGGAGGAAAACATAATAGTCAAGGAAATAATGATATGGTCCCTATTTAGGCATCACTCCTATTTTCACAATAAAGTCCCAATATTTTTAAATTTTTTCCAAGAGATATCCAATATAAATCAAGTAACCACTTTGCCCAATAGACAAACATTTGCACTTCTATTCATACCAATGGGACAATGTATAGTCTCCGATGAACATGTTTTTAAGATCTGGGTGGAAAACTCACAAACCCAGAGCCTCAGAACAGTAAGGCAGGCACCCATACCATTCGACCAACATTATGTGCTTCCTAAGTGTCTATAAATATACTTGTGGCCACAGTCTGTAGTGAACCTAGCAGGGGAGTGAATGATCCACCTGAGGATCAGGAATGAAACGTTCCTGTTGTTGAAGCGTGACAGAGCGCACTTTGCTCCCACCAGACCAAAACCTTGCGCACGAATCCAAACGTAACTCTCCCTGACTTCCAGTGGCTAGCTGTGCGTTTGACACCTCTCCTTTCAGTGGGGACTTACGTACTTGACTTCATACCACCGCCATCATGTTGCAATTGCAGAAACAACCAATACAATACAAGATGCAATACAACAACACATACTGTGCCTTGTAGAGTACATCATCAGGACCACTTAGAACAGTTAAGATGCCTAATAGCATATTTGCCCAAGTCCTTTTCAAATATAAATTATTACAAAGTATTTTAAAAATGAAATACATTAGAACAATGTAAAACAGTCAACTGCTTGTAATTGACGTCTTTCACATAAGCAGTAAGGGACCGTAAAGAAATTATATTATGCGCTATATTTATATTTTTGATTAATCGTCTGATTACCCAGTTACCTAAATTTTATTCTGACCAATGTAGGAAAAGGCATCGCCCTCAAAAAAAAAAAGAAATCCATATCGATGCACCCATGAAGTTACATCCCATTGCTAATATAGCTAAAGGGACATGGGCCAATACTACTGAATCTCAAGGTTCTGGACAGATTAGATTGACCTGGCAACACATAGAGGCTGACGTCTGATTGGGCGGAAAAACATACAACATCCCCATACATGCACTTGAAGCAATACAACAAAGAGAAAGCTGCCAAACAAAGACAAATATTCAAATTCATGTTGTCAATGTAGTTCAGTGCTTCTGAAAGACTGCCATTTTGGTTAATTGGCCTTTTTTTAAATCTACATATATATCTTGTAGGCGCTGGCAGCCAACGCAGGCACCGGGTTTGCCATGTCCGAGCCGCAGGTGGCCATGTTCTGCGGCAAGCTCAACATGCATGTCAACATCCAGACGGGCCGCTGGGAACCTGATCCATCCGGAACCAAGAGCTGCGTAGGTACCAAGGAGGCCGTGTTGCATTACTGTCAGGAGGTAAGTCACCATTTTCTAAAGCTCAAAACCAACCGAGATGAAACTTCTCAAAGCATCTTGAAATTGACTCTTGTAAAATTCAAAATGAAAAAAAATAAACCCACTTATTTGGTCTCACAATATTGACTTTTTTGTCAATTGTTTTTCACACGACTTTTTTTCCTTGAAAAAATATGACTATTCATATGGTATTAAAACTTTTCTTGAAAAAAAAAAAATCTGACTTTTATCAAGAAAAAAACAACTTGTTGAATCCTGTTTTCTTATAGATTTTTATCTTGAAAATATGCAGTTTTTCACATCAAAAAAATGTATGCCTTTTTTTTTTTTTTTTTTTACAACTTTGTCTCATCTTAAATGACTTTTTTTCTTGGCAAAATGTCGCTGTTTTATAGAATGATTTAATCCCCCCTTCTCTTGAAAATCCACTCACACTATCCCCCATCCCCCTCTGTGATTATTGACTACCACTGTGTTTTTCGCAGATGTATCCTGAGCTCCAGATCACCAATGTGGTGGAGGCCAACCAGCCACTGCACATCGACAACTGGTGCAAGAAGGAGAAGAAGGTGTGCAAGGGGCACGGCCACACTGTGGTGCCTTACAAATGCCTCGGTAAGCGCTCGCTCATCTCACGGGTCCTCGCGACAGTCGCTTTCGATGCAACGGGGCGGATGAAGTGAGAGTCAAATGCGATACTTACCTAAAAATAGCTTGAAGAATACAGTTGCATTATTTTTAATTACTAGAATCAACACATACACTACATCGTCCTCGATATGAAATCAAAGTTGCTTTCACAATGCGCAATTTTACATTTTGAGTATTCATAGTGTCTCAAAGACAGATTTGTACAAAGTCTTCATTGTGTGAAACAGCGGGCAGGATTCAGTCACATGAATTGGCGGCAACAGCCGAGGGAGCACAACATTTTTTTCAAAGATGCACGAGTCCATGTCTCAAGGCTGGAAATGATTTGACAAAACTGATGTCGGTTCAAAAAAAAAACATTTTGGGATGTGCTGAAAAAAGATAAACCGTGAAGAGCAATTCACTCAAACCAAATGGAGGATCACGTGACTTTGCAACTTCACAAACACGACTACTGCTTAAAGCTGAGCAACACACGCATGAAACCCTCGCCAAGTTGAGCGAACCCGTACTGTACTGCCGACAAAGCAAATAAACATTGCGACACATCACTAACGCCACTGTCACATACCTTGCTTTTTGCAAGCGGGTAAAAATTTGCCGGATGTTTGATATTCGCTTAATATTCAGTACTTAGACGCTGCATTTTAGCTACATTAGTAACTATATCACAGCCGTATTTCTATTGCCGTGTTCAGGACCGTCCACAAATGTCATATTTCAGCGCCCATGGCACAAATGACAATATATCAAACGAAAGATGTTTTTTTTCCCCTTTATTCTGACTGCTGTAGTAGTTGGTTGGAAGTGGTAGTGAAGCTTTGCTAATATCTCAAAGGAGCAACTGAATGAAGTAAATTGTCAGAAATATTCACAAAAACAATGGAAACGCTCTATCTAGCTTGGGCATCTGTCAAAGTTGAACATTGTTAAATATTGCCGTGGAATATCGTTGTACGGTGTTTTACAGAAGATGTATGAAGCAATTTAAAATCTAAACAAGAGCTGTTGTTCAGAACCACTGTTGATCTATAATTGTTCTGTGAAGCAAATTCACAGTATTTCAGTAGACTATCACCAAATTATCGTTATCCAATTTTTTTTGAAAACATACAGGTATATCGAGATTTTATTTATTTATTTATTTATTTTGCCCATATCGCCCACCCCTTGTTTTATCATTGTGAGAGTAAAGTCATCGGAAAAAATAAATCATCACGATGCCTTCCGAATAGCTCGGTAAGTGCTCATCTCAAGTGTCCTCACTGTCCTTTGTGTGTGTATGTCAGTGTGTTTGTGTCTGTGTGAGAGATCTTCTAATCTGTCTCTGGCGCAATATTGAACTTGGATGTGAGGTGACTAATGTTAGCCCGGTGCAGCAGACTGCTTCCGTCTGTCACAGTGGATGCCTCCAGGGCCGCAGCCGTTATTTATTATTGGCGAGGAGGCTTGTTATGCAATAAAACACGATCTGATTTTTTTTTTTCTCCCTTCCGGCTCAACCCGAGACCATAAACTCCTATTGACGTGCAGGGTCAGCAAGCAGAAGGTCTGCTGCAGCATACTCCCTCCTGGCCCCACTCCGTTTTGCGGGGGTGGGAAACCTTTGGCATGGCCCTCTGTCGCACGCAAAAGGTTTAAATCCAGTCACCATGCAGTGAGAGAAACAAATAAAACATCTGAGCGATGGTTATCAAAAAGTCTAAAAACCATTTATGTGGCAGGCAGGGGTCTGATGAGACAAATTGTTGCGATAATAATAATAATAAAAATAATGAAAATTTAGAGGCATATTGCAAAAATTACCGGTAACTACTTTTTATAGAAAAGGACACATTTTAATGACTTGTATAATTTACAGGAAAGAACTTGTAATATTAAAATAAGAGTTCTATTTTTTACAAACAAGATACATTTCACATGGAAAATTGTCTTTTTTTTTGTTTAGTTAAAATAATGTTGCAAGAAAAAAGTCGTAATATTACCAGAATATTATTTGTTCTGATGAAAAACAGACTTAATTAAATAGGTTAAAAAAAAACTTTTTTGTGTGTGAAAACCGGCAGTCTTTCGATAATTATTTTTTAAATATTCCTAGTATAATTGAAAAAAAAGACAAGTCAGAATTATTTTCAAAGGAAACAGCATTTCTCCAACATGAATATTCTTATTTCTCAACATAAAAAAATAGTTATCTATGTTTTTGAGGGGAAAGTTGTAATACCATGAGAATCAACTCATATTTTCATTTGATGAAAAAGTTTTGATATTAAGAGAGTGTCAAGGTGAGGCAGCTTTTTTTTTTATTTTTTTTTTTATGCACATTACCTACATAAGGTGCATGGTTACTCAATGTGCTAACTGCAAAGAGACAACTAAAAGCATTTACAAACAACAGTTCAAGGACATTCAGAGGCAAGGCCAAGAAAACAAAAGTATCTGACTAAAATTCCTAAAACTTAAATGACAACATTTATAAACATCCATGTCCAACCTTAAAAACATTTACAACATTTTAAAAGTAAGGCATTCAAGACCCAAACCATTCAGTGATTTATAGACGAGAAGCATAATTTAAAAAATCTATTCTTCAGCTGACTGGGAGCCAGCGTGAAGCTTATAGGACTGGACTAAACTAGAATAATATATATTTTTCTCGGACTAAAAACACAACGGAAAACAGTCTTGTGCTGCGTGCAGTTTTTTTCACATTTTACTTTCTTCATATTTTATGTTACAGCCTGATTCCAAAATTGATTACATTTGTTTTGGAATAAGGCTGTAATATAACAAAATGTGGAAAAAGTAAAAGCGCTGTGAATATTTTGAACTGAATGCCATGTCACGTAACTGTCCTCGTTTCTGGATGCAATTTGGAACAAGACAACACACGCCTGACTGGCGACTGGCGAGAATCGCAAACACAATCACAAGTGAGCTTGGGAGGGAAAAAAAGATGAAGGAAAAATAACATCAAACCAAGTCCTCCTGTGCTGCACCATCTTTCTGCCACTCTTACTCAGGCCGGAAGCCTTTTTTACTGTTTGAGTCGTGCCGCCGGCTCGCTGTCCGTGATTGAAAAAATCCATTAGTGTTTGCGCCGGACTGTGAAAATGGCAACAATTCATGAGCATTCTTGGCAGCGGGTGAAGGCGAATGATTTTTTTTTTTTTTTTTTTTTTAATGTTCATACAGCAAACATCACGACTGGAGACAGGCTAAACTCAGAATACAGATGAAGACAATTTCAGGCTGAATTTTTCCACTTGCCGACAGATAAAGATCCAAACCAAAGCCGGAGACAAGCTATTTAAGTGAATATGAGCAGTGGTGGAAAAGCAGCAGTTCAAATACAGATTTATGTATTGTTTAAAAAAATAGATGGGAATACGAACTTAAAGAATAAACTCGGATTAAATCGCAATACTGAGGGAAGAAAAGTCCATCCATCCATGTATTTTCAACACCACTTATCCTGAACTGGGCCGCGGGGAGTTGCTGGAGCCTATCCCAGCTGTTTTAGGGCAGAAGGCAGACTACACCTTGAACTGGTCGCCAGTCACTCGCAGAGCACATATAGAGACAAACGACCATTCACACCCACATCCACAGAGTGGAACCGATCCCACGCTGCCCGCACACAAGTCTGGTACCACTACCCATCAGCGACTGGAAGAAAAGTAACAATTACAAAATTTCCCCAAATCGTTGAGCCCTAGAGTCCATGTAAGAATTTCCCACAATTCCTCAGGCCGATTCTGTGCTTTGATTTGTGACCAAATTTTGACAAACAAGCACTGTTTAGTGGCGGCGTCAAGTCACCTTAAAACTGTTCTTCAAAAAGAGACTTCAATCTGATTTTTGCCACTTGCAGTTAAAATTTACTTTCAAACTAAACAAAGAGAAGCCTACCTGAATTTAAAACAACCACACAACCCAGCCTAGCTCTACTAGCTCAATTTAACAATGCAAAACACCATTGACCGGCTAGCGAAAACTGACAACTAATGTGCCTGCAGCTAACTGAGGTGTTTTGACCGTCTCCGTGTACATCCGTTTGTATGTTTGAATGTATGAGGCACGCCAAGGCGCGCAAATGAGAAGGAACAGCAAATGTCCATTGAAGCAAAGAACGTGGCCAAAATGTTCAACGTTTTGTACAATGATGATGACATTATTATTGATGCAGCACAGTGATTTGCTGCACAATAGTAAACATTTTGATCAACCAATGAAATGAGTTTTCAGGTTGACTTAATTAGGTAGTGGAACGCAATTGAGTATCTTTGAGCCAACCAAATGAGTCAAACTTCCGGTTTGGCTGTCAACTTTGATTTGTAGTCACAGGCTCTAATCTGCCGTGTCTGTGTGATTCAGCCTGGGATTATTTTATTCAGGGGCTCGTTCCCTTCAACGCCGGAGAGAGCATTTTGCGGCCTGTCATCCGGCGTGCATGCAGCTGCTAATTTAATTGCCTCAAACTGCACATTTAATGCTGAAGGAGCCCATTCATTTGTCATTCTATTTCACGCCGGCATACAAAAGGCAACTCTCCGTGAACTCTAGTGTTCCACAAAGGAGGATGGAATTCCAATTTGCTAACCATTTTCCCAAGCCACTCTTGCCTTGATTTTTGTTTGCCTTTTGAGGCACACTTCTGCAGAAAGTGTTGTTTGAACTCCATCTGAGATTTGCTCCTGTCACGCATGATGATGAGCATGATGATCCGTTTTGTTTGACTTTGAAAGGATACTTGGTTTTAATGCCCAAATTTCAACCCATTTGGCATTATTCCTCAGAGTTTGATTTCCAGATTTATGTTGGTGCGTTGAACAGCTAAATTTTGTTTTCCTTTGAAGGCACTGTTTTGCAGAAAATGTGACACCTGTTTCACTGGAAATTTGGGCTTGAATTATTCTTCAATGGCCGGCCCAGTGGTCTAGTGGTTAGCACGTTGACCTCACAGTGTAGAGGTCGTGTGTTCAATCCTGGCTCCTTCCTTCCTGTGTGGAGTTTGCATGTTTACCCCCGGCCTGCGTGGGTTTTTTCTGGGTACTCCGGTTTCCTCCCACATTCCAAAAACATGCATGACAGGCTGATTGAACACTCTAAATTGTCCCTAGGTGTGAGTGTGAGCGCGAATTATTGTTCGTTTCTGTGTGCCCTGCGATTGGCTGGCAACTGGTTCAGGGTGTCCCCCGCCTACTGCCCGAAGACAGCTGTGATAAGTTCCAGCATGCGTGAGGATAAAGCGGTTCAGAAAATGGATGGGTGGATGGATTAGTCTTCAAGGTTTTATATTAAAACTCATCACCATGTTTTGAGTTAGTTATTTGTTTGACTTTGGAAGCATATTTCCCCGAAAAATGGGCGGTGGACTCCAAATTGTCATTCGTCTGGCACCAAACTAGTTTCACTTGCCTGAAATATTTGTTCAGATTTCAAACATCACACAAAACAATGCAGATTTTTTTTTCTTTTTTTTGGGGGGGGGCATGTCTTTACAGAAAATTGCTATGAAAAAGAGAATACAATAAAAATTGCTACATATACCTGAAGCAAATTTGTCAGGCCTGAAGTGCAGGGATAAGCAGCAGCTCGAGAGCACGCTGCAATTTGCAGCTCGCCCGTCCTCCTCTCCTTCCATGCTACCCCCTAATTTTCCAAAACGCTGCCTTCCACACTGGACGAACCACCAAACGAGCTGTTATCGGAGTGCTCCCTCCCCTCCCTTGTTACTCAACCTCCCAGACTCTCTGTTTTTGTTTTTTTTTGGTCTGGTCTCCGAACTCTCTTGAACAGAAGCTCTTCTATTCCTGCTTCTCCACCGTGTGGCTTTCCAACTGTTATCCATTATTTTCTTCGTAATGGCCCCGGTTGACATGCATACTTGCTTGCTTACTCATGGGCCTAAACATTAGGTACACTCAAAATACACAACGCCATACTGGAGCTTCATCAAGAGCTCTTCTTCTTAAAATCAGTCTGATTATCAGTTTGCGTGAACCTCACTTTTGGTCCTACAATTATTCGTCCTGCCTAAATTCCCACTTAAATCACCCTCACTATTTTTTACAAGCAGGTCGAGAAGAGAAAAGCACACACCCACACATGGGCTGAACAATTCATTAAATTCAAATCGACCTTGCAACATTGTAAAATGCAATTCTTAACCCTCATGTGGTATCTTTACTTTCGGAGAGGTTGATCCTCCTCAAAATCTGAACTTTTTGGTCAGCAGCGCCTCCGAGGAAGTGTGCAATAACGAGATTTTATTGATTTTTTTGTTATGTTGCAGTGGGTGAGTTTGTGAGTGACGTGCTGCTGGTTCCAGAGAAGTGCAAGTTCTTCCACAAGGAGCGAATGGACCTGTGCGCTAGTCACCAACAGTGGCACGGCGTGGCCAAGGAGGTAACACGGGATACACAGATCACATGACTTGACTCCAGTGTTGTAGTGCAGATTGGGGGAGTCGTCTTTACCTGTGGTTTGGAACAGGGGACGACCGATTTAGGTTGGTTGGTCGCCCTTGCTCGAAATTGTCCATTGGTGTTATTGTGACATTCGAGTCAGATTTACTAATGTATGAGACAAACAGATATATATATATATATTTAATGGCATATTTGCCATTAAATTACTGAATTAAACTTTTACTACCTCTTCGTTTTCCTCACAACTACACCAGCAAGTTTGTTTTGGCTTCTTGAATCAAGTCTGCATGTGCCCAATTAGAAGATAGACTACTCCACTGCATGAGAAGGGAGGCTTGAGCAGTCGAAATAATCATGGTAGATTGAGCATTTTAATGTGTTTTTAAGCACTTGAATGAACCAAAACAATATTTTCTCTTGAATTTAGATTGGAGGAACGTGCAGTTATCCGTTTTTTAGGAGATGTTTTGGGGTGCATGCAATTGCCTAAATTGTAAAGCCACTTGGTGAGCTCGAGTACAGTCTAACCTCACCCTTTTTTCTGTGGTTTTATGTGACCAGCAAAACAATGTAAAACAAATACTGTATTAAGCATATTAGCTTGACTATGGAGAATGCTAAGAATGCATCTTGAAATTGTTTGAGACATGTAGAAAGACAAACTGGCCTTCTTACCCAGTTAGTGAGGGATTGCGCAATCTGAGTTTAGGCTTGGCAGGCCATTTCCACGCTTCACATCTCGCCTGTGTATTTGACCAGGAAATAAAAAATTGAACAAATCCTGGACATTATTGGGTTGAAAATGTACGGCTGAATGATTGTCATCACGTTTCATCCTGAGGCATGCTCCAAAAGCTCGACGGTGCTGCACAGCTACGGCATGCTGCTCCCATGCGGCACCGATAAGTTCCACGGCACAGAGTTCGTCTGCTGCCCGCCTTCCCGCACCGAGGAGTCGGCCGATTCAGCCCCCGAGCATGAGGAGGAGGAGGAAGACGTGGAGGATGAGGAAATCGATGAGGCCAAGCTGGATGAAGACGAGGACGCCCTTGAGAACAGGTTCCATGAGTTACTCCTCGTGTTGGCCTCCTCCAAGTTCTGTGTTTAAGTGGTGCAGAACATCCCTGTAGTTTATGTGAACAAATTTTAGTTTGTTTGTTATATTTGCCTCTTAAGTTAGAACCATCCTCTTTTTCTCAAAATTTTGCAGTGATATAATTATTAACTTTGTGCATAATTTGTTCTGTCTCCTTATTGTAGCGAGGCTCCGGCTGTCGAGCAACCCACGCAGAAAGAGGAGCCGCTGGATGAGGAGGACACAGAGGAAGACGTGGATGAGGCAGATGAAGAGGATTACCACTATGTCTACGAGGATGAAGAGGCAGATAACGATGAAGATCACAACCGAGACAGCAGCAGAATGTCGGACAGCCGTGAGGACGAGGACAAGACTCTACAAGAAGTCAAAGGTTCTTCTTCTTTTTTTTTTTCCAATGACAATTAATTGTCTTGGTCATGTGACATGGGCAGCCCCTCATTGCTAGGCAGAATTCTAAAGTTGAAATTAAAATTGATGAAATTGTGTATTATACTGTGCACACAAAATACTGTGGCTACACAATACACACTTGCGGACAGGAAGTAGGTATGATTGTGCAATTAAAATTTGAATTAATCGGCGCATACTTCCTGGACAGCAAATCAAGTGCAGAATCCCCAGAAGCAGTGTACATACAGTATTAGGTTGTATTTCCACTACTGACTTCCCATTGATGGGCCCCCCTGCAGCCGTGTGCACCCTGGAGGCGGAGACAGGGCCCTGCAGGGCCTCCATGCCCCGCTGGCACTTCGACCTGAGCCAGAGAAAGTGTGTGCTCTTCATCTACGGAGGCTGCGCGGGAAATCGCAACAACTTTGACTCGGAGGAGTACTGCATGGCCGTGTGCAAGCGACTCGGTGAGTGACAGCTTGTCAGTTGCACTAAGGCTTTAAAATTATATTTGAAGTTGTTTTTGGGGAGGGTAATATGTGGTACAGTTTGAAATGAGTGAAGAATCATGTTAATAATTGGGAGGCTTATTTTTATACAAAATTGCCCAGCCCTAGTTCACTGTACAGTATAAAGAGCTAAAGATCGTGTCCAAAAACAAAATCGCGAAAAAATTAATTCACCAAGCATGAATAGGCAGGGGTTCACTGCACTTTATTTCCAATCCCATTTTTTGTTAATATTGGTTTGGCGGATATTTTGGTTCGGCAGCCACGCTCCCGACACCTCAGCCAGCCGACGACGTGGACATCTACTTTGAGACGCCAGCAGATGACAAGGAGCACAGTCGCTTCCAGAAGGCCAAGGAGCAGCTAGAGATCAGGCACCGCAACCGCATGGAGAGGGTGAGCCGGGGGATGTACCACACCTGCTAAAATACTCAAACTCACCGGCGGATGTACCACACCTGCTAAAATACTCAAACTCAAAGAGGCAGTTTGAGAGTTCGTCAAAAGTGCTCAGCTGTTATGCCTGGCAAGAGGCAAAACATACAAAACAAAAAATGTCTCAAAACAAAAAATAATTGGGGTAAAAAAAAAATTAAAGTCTGAGGAAAAAAATACAATACAAAAATATTACAAAATAATGCAAACTTCAATCAGAAAAGAGAGAATAAAATAGAAAATGATACGAACTATGAAAAAGAGAATACAATTAAAAACATAAATACAAGTTTAAAAAATGACCAAAAAATGTCAGCAAAAAATATTAAAAAATATCTTTTAAGACGTTCATTATACAATACATAAATGAACGTCACTGCACTTTATTTCCAATCCCATTTTTTGTTAATATTGGTTTGGCGGATATTTTGGTTCGGCAGCCACGCTCCCGACACCTCAGCCAGCCGACGACGTGGACATCTACTTTGAGACGCCAGCAGATGACAAGGAGCACAGTCGCTTCCAGAAGGCCAAGGAGCAGCTAGAGATCAGGCACCGCAACCGCATGGAGAGGGTGAGCCGGGGGATGTACCACACCTGCTAAAATACTCAAACTCAAAGAGGCAGTTTGAGAGTTCGTCAAAAGTGCTCAGCTGTTATGCCTGGCAAGAGGCAAAACATACAAAACAAAAAATGTCTCAAAACAAAAAATAATTGGGGTAAAAAAAAAATTAAAGTCTGAGGAAAAAAATACAATACAAAAATATTACAAAATAATGCAAACTTCAATCAGAAAAGAGAGAATAAAATAGAAAATGATACGAACTATGAAAAAGAGAATTCAATAAAAACATAAATACAAGTTTAAAAAATGACCAAAAAATGTCAGCAAAAAATATTAAAAAAACAATACATAAATGAACGTCTTAAAAGAAGAAAAGACCCACATGAACATACACAGTGTTGGAAACAAAACTAAATATAGTAAAAAGTTGAGATATTTATTCAGTCTTCAACAATATACATATTCCTAAATCATAAATACAAGTTTAAAAAATGACCAAAAAATGTCGGCAAAAAATATTATTAAATATCTTTTAAGACGTTCATTATACAATACATAAATGAACGTCTTAAAAGAAGAAAAGACCCACATGACATACACACAGTGTTGGAAACAAAACTAAACATAGTAAAAAGTTGAGATATTTATTCAATCTTCAACAATATACATATTCCTAAAGATTGGCATGCTGAGTGTCACACAAAGATGACTGGAAATGGTCACACTTGTCTTATTGTTGATCTTGAGTCTTTTCTCCTCATGGCGGCAGGTGAGGAAGGAGTGGGAGGAGGCTGACCGCCAGGCCAAGAACCTGCCCAAGGCTGAGAGGCAAACTTTGGTCCAGGTCAGTCACCGCTCCCTGTGGTTGGGTCAGCTAGGACACCGTAGCACGCTTTCTTTGACCATTACATTGGAACTAAAACAGGGGTGTCAAATTCATTTTTTTCGCGGACCACTTTGGAGTTATGTCTTTCCTCAACGGGACGGGCCGTTATGAAACCAGTGGAACCAAATAAATGTTTAATCGTCTCATCATAT